ACAACTGAAAATTAGTCTACAAGCACAGACTCGAACTTGAAACTTTGCCACAGTTCCTAAAACCTTGAGTAGAGCCTAGATATTTGTAAGGAGTGGCCTATCGTATTAAAGGTAAAGACCAGTATTGGAAACGCCCCAATTTCAAAAAATGAAATGGAAGCTCTCATTACCAATCATGTGAAAGAATATGTTTTGACTAATACATGATGAAAAAAAATTTACCGGGAAACCGCCTACTAATTCATATATTTGGTAAATTTGTTTCTCTCTTGGTCTGTGAGAGATATAGGGTAGTCCCATATACATCTTTCTGTGTATAGTGCTTGTAACTTTACGAAGAATGGGCCAAATTTCTTATCATTTTGATGATTCCAGAACCTTGCAGATGCTAGATGCTAGATGATCAACCTTTTCTGATCGATTCCACAACGTTTCTTTCACAATGCAATCGCATGACCATAACTGGTCTTTACCTTTAATCTCATAGTGCAGACAATCACACACAACAACTGAAAGCCCCTACCGCAAACTAACCAAAATTGTGCTTGCACATACATGAACACAATCCAATATATTTCATATAAACTGAATTCATGCATATATTTGTATGCCGGTATAAATGAGGAGGAAGAATTAAAAGTGTGAACCTGTACCAGCCACATGTTGGAATTATTATGGTTTCACACCACATCATAATCATCATCAATGTCATATCTGTTTTAGTATTGCACATTATAGAATGTGGCAAGCAGTCGCCCCTCCCTTTTGAAGCCCCCCCCCCCCCCCCAAAAAAAAAGCAATTTGCAAAAGGTACATCATGTATATGGCATATGATGATGTGAAGACATTCTGCAAGTGTCCAGAAAGGACCCCCCCCCCCCCTTTTGTCTTTTTTTTTTTTCTAATAAAATTCTTGGGAAATGGTAGTTGTACTACCATGAAATAATGATTTCAGACATAGTACTGTATCTTTAAAAACAATATATTTTCAGAGACAGAAGGACATGAATTCTCTGTAAAATGATGAGAGTTGACACCTTTTCTTGCTCCAAAAAGACTAAAGTCCTCTCGTGGTTACTACTCATTGATACCTGTCTGAAAGGTAGACTACACATGGAGCAAGTTCAAGAGAAGAAGTGAAATCCTAGCAATAGGCTGAAAGCCATTTAATAGATAATTTAAGTAAATAAGACCACAACATCAATCTCACTTAACCTACAGCCTCCCCTGACCACTAGTAATACAGGCATCACGCAGGGATTTAAACACTTAATGGAGCAATAAGGGTTAATAAAACCTTAACCACACACACAAAATACCTCGGTTCCAATACAGATTACCGGCTTTCAGCGATGCATGGTCAAAATAACCTCGCCATTACAACAACAAGCTTCAGATATCATCATTTATTATGTAGTGATCTATTCCAAAATATGTTGAGTCATAATTGTGTGTGCAATTGGTATATATGTTATGATAACAGGTGTGAAAATGTTAGAAAAGTACATTTAAAGGTAGAAACATTAAAACGTTTTCCCAGTAAGTCTTTTAATACTCTTCCAAGCAAATTTCCATGTCCATACAATGATAGCAAAGAGCCCATTTACTAACTTTCTTTATATCCTTTTTTAACTTGATCATATCTAGATATAAATACACATTATGAGGGGAAGGGGGTGGGGGGGTTTTGGGGGGTGGGGGGGTTTTGGGGGGAGGGGGGTAGAGGGGATAAATCTCCAAAGTAAAAACTACCGTACAGTGTATCTATATTTAACTGTTTAAAGCTGTACAATGCCAATGTGTTTATTTTCAAATAATAAATATTGCATGAATTAAAATCACACAGAAAGTTCTTCACTTGGAGGTTGTTCCTGTAACACATTTGTTTAATGTTGCCCTCCCCCCCCCCCCACCCACCCACCCAACCACCACAATGACCATGCCCAAAACAATCATTAAATTATTATAGCAACATCTTTTGTCCGAATGCAATCCAACTGCTACGCTCTTTGTTCTCACTCAGAATTCAAATTTGTCATTGTAGTATTGTACATTTTAATACAATATGTGCAAGTCCCCAGCAGCTGTGTAAATACACAAATACATCAATGCCTGGCAATAATGTTATTCAATTGTTGTGGACCATATATATGCAATCCAGAGACAATCGTTTCGTCAAAGGGGTGGCAAATGTTCATATTGGGATAGATTTTCACACTTTTAAAACCACCCCCCCCCCCCCCCCCGCCACAAAAAAAAAAACAATACATATATGTGTATCAATGTGATTGCAAACTGTAAGTGTAGATGAAGAGGGATCCATTCGGGTAATACATGTACACACAGAAAATGAAATGTGAATATTGTTGGCAATATTTTTATACAAGTTTATGAAAAGGGAATTCAAATTGTGTCACATTCTTTCTTTGTTTGTTTTTGTTGGGGGTGTTTTTGGTTTTCTCTTTTGTTTGTTTGTTTTGCCTTTATGGTGGTGATATTATTGTTAAGGTTGATAGTACCTGCCTATAAAAAAATCTTTGTACTTTTTATCTGATGAGGTGTCACTTTGTTTGTTCCTTACAAATGTCATTTATTCTTTATTTATTGTGGGCGTTTTGTTCCTTTCTCTCTTTCTCTCGTTTGATTGCTTGTTTTGCCTTACTTTGTTTATTTGGATGGCGGTTGTTGGAGAAGTTATCGTCAGTACTTTTCATATCCGTCTATAATGGCAGCTAGGCTAAAGCCGGGGTAATAATAAATGCGCCTCTGAATAGAATTTCTAGACAGACGGCGCTATAGAAATGCCTATTATTATCATTATTATTATAAATCAATGTACTGTAGATGTACATATACTTTTTATCTGATGAGAATGTCACATCATATAATTGTTCTGCATCTTCAATAAAGCATTTACTAAAAATAATTATGAATTCAAGATAAATCATTGTATCTAGTATTAAAGGCCATCTGTACTAGTTCAACCAGAAGGGATTAGACCACTCAGCGAGGTCACTGACGCGTGGCTATCTCATCAACTCAGCTCTCAATTAACATAAGAAAAAGAGGATCATGGGGGACCAACAGGCACCGATTGGGGAAGTTTTCTATATAGAGGGAGCAAGTAGCTACAAGTAGTACAGTGGGGCTTTAAAGAAACTTTAACAAACTTAAAAACAAAATTAAAAAATGCTTATCATTCACTAGCATCTGGCAACCGCAGCACGCACGTCCATTAATGTGGAATAAGATAAAATATTGCTTCAGGCAGAACATTTTTTACGGTATAGGAAATTGAGACTCCCGTTCGTTTGAAGGAAGCAGGCTGAGGTTGCAGGCTGAGGTTTCAGGGAAATTTGGATAAAAACTGTTAACAATTAATATTGTCCATAAAAGAACATGCCCAAATTTGGGCATGTTCTTTTAAGGCACATCGAAAGAGCATCTGTCGCATTGGTTAGCATTTCATCGAACCCGTTCATTAAACTTGATTGCTTTTTGTCTGTTTCCATCCTGGAAAAGGTTTCATGATGTCAATGGTGGTTAAAAAGTCAATTTCAATCAGACAGAAAGTAGCTATGTGGTCATAAACTGACATTTAAAGCACTTATGGAGGATATAAAATTACTGGCAACATTCATGTTCTAGAAAAAACGGCTATTCAAGCTAGAAATTCATGTCGTCTGTTTGGAGCCAGAAGGGCGTTAAATATGTGTGTAACTGTAAGCATTAATGTCCTTCTGGCTCTCAACAGAGGAAAGAGTCCCTAAAATAGTACAGGTACAGTCAAACCACCTTGAGGGACCACCTGCATAGAAATTTTCATCATGGTTTCTCATTGAACCCTGTACTAAAGGAACCTGTACATGTATAAAGATCACCTGTCTATAAAGACCACATTTCATGTTTCCCCTTGAGCGGTCTTTATATACAGGTTTCAATATGCTACCACTGACCTAACCTGTTGAAGATTTGTTCACAAAAGCAGAAAGCAGCATAGGTGCAGGAAGAAAAGTAAAGAAAGGTATTCAGCTTTATTTATCATGGTTTTAATAAAGTAATCATTTTATCTCACTAATGCGCTTTGGGGAAATGTGTTGTGGTTAATGTACAATGTACATGTACCAAAGTACATATGTACAACACAGTTCAGAATGCTCAGGAGAGAGAAAAGTAAGCATGCATGCAGTGTATACAGGTTGAACTTTCTCCTGATATACAACCATAAATCCATCGTCAGCCATCTTGTAAATGGTTCACTAGTCTGTTTACGCTGGAGAGCTGAAATAAAATGAGCCCGACGTATAACATGCAGAATTATCTTCTTTTTTTTTCTTTTTTTTAAAATGAAATTGGAGAAATCATCGTCGCTGCCATGATCCTACAGAAACATTCTAAAGCCTACTACACCATGCAGAGCACCTGAATGTGTATGGAATGATGGCAATCCATGTGTTTTTATGTTATTGTTAATATGACAACCATTTGACCATGCGCACAATGCCCGATACACCTTGCAAAGTTGCAGTCTTCTCAAGCAACCAATGCCCACAAGAGAAAAAGGAAAAAAGAACAATCAGGAAAGCATCCGTGTCCATGAACCTGAAAGAAACTTCCAGTCATATTTCTGAAAATCGTGAAACTACAGGGCCCTGTTTCACAAAACTTGTCATCAGTGACAAATGACAGTCTTTGTTATAAGCTACTGAGATCCTTGCTTCTGATTGGTTATCAGCAGATTTGTCACTGATTTTGTTGTCATTTGTCATTGAAAAGGGCTTTGTGAAACAGCCCTGATCTATTTCTAATTGGAAGAAAAGGGGGGAAAGAAATCCAATGTGTATTAAAGAATGGCCTGGATGGGAAATGATCGGGCAATTAGAAGCGATATAGTTAGTAATGTTGCTCAGACTAGGTTAGCGATTGCGTGCTGATGCTGATGTTCATGCAGTTAGTGGAGCCATCTTGCATTCTGCGGCATCCTAGATCAAGGAGGTTACCTTCGGATCCAAAGTCCCGGGAGGTGTCTATGATGTCAAAAGTCTTTGATTCCGAGAAGGCAGGACTGAAAGGTTCCTCCAGTGGCTCTTCGGTATAGCCTTCTACCAGATCACCTTCATCATCAGCATCATCATCATCATAGGTCTCCTCCTCCTGGTAGCCTTCCTCTTCATCGGCTTCAAATTCTCCTGCAGCAGCAGCATCTGCTTCATCATCAGAAATCTCTGATTCCTCAGGATCCCTTGAGACATCCTCACCGACATCTTCCTGCACTTCTCCTGGTGCATCCGCCTCAGGTTCTTCCGCACTTAGCCCCGCTTCCTCACTCTGCATCTCCTCCGGCTGGCCACCTTCTGGTTGGCCACTTTCTAGCTGACCCTCTATTTCCTCTTGGGGTTGCTTTGGTTGTTCCTGGACTTCGCTTGGAACAGAGCCGTCGTCTTGGACAAGCTCCAGGGGTTCCGGAAGAGGTTCTATATTTTCTAGACTATCCTGTTCTATGGCATCTTTATCACTGTCTGCTTGGACAGGGTATGATTGGTGTAGAGTGTGATTAAGAGTGATCAAGGGAAGAGCAAAGTTAGGAAAGAGACAAAGGCTCATAAGAAAACGAGACCTTGACAGAAAGTTGGTGCAATGAGGACTACTATTACACATTACAAAGGTCTATAATGTAGGACTCATGCAAATTCTAGCATGCAAATGGTTGGTTTAGAAACATTCCTGTTTCAAGATTAAGGAAGAAAGGTCCATTGTACTTTGGGATGGGGTATGCTAAGGACTACCACCTCTTCACACACAAAAAAACCTACATGAAAATAAACTCTACTGTCTCTAGAAATTAATGGAAACACCCTGCGAAGCACAACATCCTACTCAGTGACTACTAATTGTGTTTTGGCAGGACACACACATTGAAAGACTTGGACAAAATACTCTTGATAGATAAATGGCAACTTCCTACGATAACAAAATATTCCACTTACATGTCTGACAGGCTCAACCAATTTCTTCCCAGAAATGTTGGCATCGCAATCAACCACAAGTTCACAACATTATCATTTAAGAACTTCTTTATCCATTCTAACAAATCCACAGTTGTTTGTTTTTCTTTTTTTTGTCCAATACCCCACATATACAGTGTATATTTTTTGAATAATTCTTCGTAACTTGTGGAAACCAAATTAAACTGTACCTTTAAATTATTTCAGTTTTCCTTTCCTCCCAAAGGAGCTTGAATTTTTTTCTCCAACATTAATGCGAAAAATCCATGTCATTTCTATTTTTTGGGGGGTAGCAGAAATATTTAGATGACATTGAAAATAGCGACTATTATCATATAGAGAGAGGGAATATGTTAAACTGTAATTCCTTAAGAGAACAATATTGCCTTGTTGGATCCAGAAGGGTGTTAGCTCATATGCTTGCAGACAGAGTTAACACCCTTTTGGGTATAAAACAGATGATATTTTCTTTCCGGCACATACCTGTTCTTGAAGGGGCATTTGCATTACTGTCTATTGCAAGGTTGGCGTTGAATTCGGGGTTAGCGATGATTTCAGCGTTGGCGTTTACTTCCATCCTGGTGGTTCCTTCTGTGGCATTGTCCGAATCACCCGTCCCCGTTACACGACTGTTGTCCAGGACGCCCTCTGTAGTCTGAGGCCCATCGCTAACATTTACACCTGCAGAAAGGATGGAGAAGAAAAACTTGTTGTAAATAGACAGTATAGGGAATTTTATACCTTTAAGATACAGAGTTGCAGTTTATCTAACTTGATCGCAAGTCCTCCAATCGATCGCAGACTCATAATCTCTGAGTTTTTTGTACACAGTTGCTATCAAACTCGAGTTCAGGTGCCATCAATGTAGATCAATAGCATCTCTTTCCAAGATAAAGACGTGTAAAGCATTATATTCTAAATACAATGATAGACAAAATATGTCTTTTTTAATTAAAATGTATTTTTCTGCCACACGATTTCCTCCTGTTCCTAAGACTTTCTACATGTCAATATTGAGCGGAGACCCATGGCTGCACAGATCATTCTGCCGAGCTATCTCGCTCAAATACTTGAGCCAAGATGTAATGCTCATGGTCACAACATCTGTCTAATGAACGCAAGATGTACATGGCTAGTTTCTGCCCCGATATTGGAGTCATTAAAGGGTGTGCGGCCTAATAGAGGACTGTTTTCATCAGCTCCAGATTGCCAAATAGCCTGCCATTTCTGATTTGATAAATAATCCTGAACTTACAAATCGCGTCTTCATCAGCTAGAGACTCGACCTCGAAACTCGAAGCTGAAGCTTGAGAAATCAGCTCGAGATATTTTGCTCAGCGTTCGGGCACAGTACGAGTCTTGGGGTTGGCGAAGACGCACCGGACAATTGGCGGAATATTATGCAAACTAGCCCAAGACATCTTGGGATGATTATCTCGACCAAATATCCTGCTAATTGCAACTGCTGGCTGATGAAGACGCAAATTAGCTGGATTGGGGTAGTTAAAATAGCTATTTATTTGGCAATCTCGAGCTGATGAGGACAGGCCTAGTAATACTCTCTGTGGAAGGTCCTGACCTATGATATCAGCTGTGAAACACGGAATGGCACTAAGAGCTTTGAGTAAGCTACGAAGATCCACGCAGATAATACTTTTTATTAATAATTCAATTTCGTCATGTTTCCCATCGCCTTGAAAGCACTAGACTTGATGAAAACATAATGTGACGAGCATAACAAGTAATGGAAATGTGTTGGCCTAATGTACATCAAAACAGGAAATGAAAATAGAAATATTGTAAAAGGGTATTAATAATTAATTTTCTCATATATAAGTAAATCATTGTCAGCACTCAACATTGAATTTCAAACCATCATCGTCGTCATCAGCTGCAGCAACATCATATCATCACCTTTATTATCATCACCAGTAACAATAATAATGATCTGATTTATCAACATCATCCACAATTCAATATTTATTTGTATTTAACATCAATTCATCATTCCACAACCTGTTCTTGTCCTCCTCATCATCATTATGTCATCATGATGATAATGACAACAACCTTTATCAATTTATGATTCAAATTCATCATCCTCATCCTCATTCTAATCATCATCCTCATCATCATCATCATCATCATCATCATCATCATCCTCATTCTCATCATCATCCTCATCCTCATCCTCATCCTCATCCTCATCCTCATCCTCATTCTCATTCTCATTCTCATCATCATTCTCATCATCATCATCATCATTGCCATCGTCATCATCCTCATCCTTATCATCATCCTCATTATCGTCCTCATCCTCATCATCATCATCATCATCCTCATTCTCATCATCATTATCATCATCATTGCCATCGTCATCATCCTCATCCTTATCATCATCCTCATTATCGTCCTCATCCTCATCATCATCCTCATCCTCATCATCATCCTCATTCTCATTCTCATCATCATTCTCATTCTCATCATCATTCTCATCATCATCATCATCATTGCCATCGTCATCATCCTCATCCTCATCATCATCCTCATTCTCATTCTCATCATCATTCTCATTCTCATCATCATTCTCATCATTATCATCATCATCATTGCCATCGTCATCATCCTCATCCTCATCATCATCCTCATTCTCATTCTCATCATCATTCTCATTCTCATCATCATTCTCATCATCATCATCATCATTGCCATCGTCATCATCCTCATCCTTATCATCATCCTCATTCTCATTCTCATCATCATTCTCATTCTCATCATCATTCTCATTCTCATCATCATCATCATCATCATTGCCATCGTCATCATCCTCATCCTCATCATCATCCTCATTCTCATTCTCATCATCATTCTCATTCTCATCATCTTTCTCATTCTCATCATCATCATCATTGCCATCGTCATCATCCTCATCCTCATCATCATTATCATCATCATCATCATCAACCTCATCATCATCTGTATTATCAAAACAATTTGCTGCTTGTCATCATTTCATCATCCTATTTGAATAACTTAATAGTGCACATCCCACGTTTAAACAACACTATTTTAAGACTGGGAATTTTTTGCAATTAATATAAATCGTCCTCAATTCCAAGGCTATCGCTCCTGGCAATCCAACAAGATCAACGTTTATTGTCTTTCAAAGTAATTCAAAGCTAATCTATTTGAGTTATTTGGGACTGGTCAACAAAATTAGCTGGAGTACAGTTCAATAGGCCACTGCTGAGAAAATATTGACCATGCATCTTCTGCCTCCAGGCAGACTGTATGCAGAAAATATGGTGGATTTTGAAGGTGCCTAAATCTACATGTATTTCTCATTAGCTCTGCAATTGTGCATGTACATGTACAGTGTGTTTTAGCTTGTGGAATTTGTTTCTATCAACCCCATTCATTGTAATAAGTATAGTTTACATTTGAAAATATCAACAAATAGGAGTACATGTACATGTACATGTACATGTACATGTACATGTATATATAAAAAAATAAAAAAAACACTAGAATCTAGTAATAAAAGTCATAAATACTTGAATATATATTTAAAATTCAACTTGTGGTCCTTTTAGTGCATGAACAGATGATTTTTTTATTTTTTTTTGAACTTGGGGTGAAATCAACTCTATTACTGGTAGTGTGCAATAAAAAATATCACAACATGAAACCCTCAATGATCATTCTCATTTTCAAAGAAACCTTGACAAAATTATTGTTATTTGTAACAGAGCTGAATTTAACTTGGTCTTATGTGCAATCAAATCATGATTGAAACTTAATCAAACATAATTTGTACCAAGTACAAGATCATACATTGTACTATTAAAAACACAACTCTTCACTATCATTTATCACATTAAAAGAACGTACTGTACCATCAGTAATTTCAGACTAATTTTTTTTTTTAGAAAATAGATTCAATTTTACTTGCCCCAATCTCCAATTGGATTTATACTCAATGACTTAATCTTAAAAAGAAAAACACATTTGCTACAAGTACATTTAGTACATAAATTGTAAAAGAGCTACCTTACTACGCCTTCATGTACATGTACATGTACATGGAGAACATTATGAACAACATTATGTGCATACGATCATGCTCGCACCATTCTTCGCTCTCACTTATCCCGAGAAAGGACAACATTCTGCTTCCGAGGCAGACAAGGAGGGGATTCTATTTTTGGCAACCTAGCCAGGATGAGTCAGTTGCTAACGAGACAGTAGAGTGCCCAGGGTGTAGGCTCTTGTACTACCCTCTCAACTCGGAGCTCGCGACATTACTGTAGGCCAAGAAAAAATGAATATCAGTTTCTCGTCCAGATTTTCAGAAATAAGAGGGGAGGTGGTTCCAAGTGATATTTGATATTTGACCTCCTCCTCCCCCCACGAATGCTACATGTTCATGTACAGAATCAATATCAGAATAAATTTTCTTAGTAACATTTCATTTGTTCATGAACTATAAAGACTCAGAACGAGTTGAAATTGTACCAGTATTACTTCAATATCTAATATCTATACATTTCATGTCCCATCAAACGAAAAATCAAATCAAATAGCAAAAAGACGGTAGAAGGGAACAAGAAACTAGGAACTGTTTTTATATGGCCTTATTCATGTATACATGCCAAAAACAAATTCAGGCGAACTGAATATATAATACGCGACGGTCCACCTTTGCATTTCAGAGGGGTGCTTTGTAATCATGAATCGAACTCACATTATTTATGTTCATCCATATTGAATTGACAATTGATAACATAATGGGAGAAAGCCGTCTGGGAAGTGTAAGGATTTAGGGTAAACAGTAATAATATTTTGAAAGCATAAATAATATTTTTAAAGCACTGAAAACCTTAGTAAATCCACAAAAAAAACTATTCATTTTTCAGCAGATAACATGAAACCCCAACAGTTCAGTGGTATTTGTAACAAAAACAAAATTAGACCAATATTTTCATACATGTTTTCTTATTAGTACCTCGAAGAGTGTACCAGTAATAGCAAACAGAATTAAAAAAATACTAGAATTTCATTTTAAATATATTAATGAATATGGAGTTTAAAGGTACAATTTGTAGCCCTAACAATAACTGAGAATGGATTACACTACAACCGTATGTCTACGTATGATATTTGTTGTGCAAATTATGACTAACCATCTAATCTCTACTTCATGGTCATGGTCGTGTATAATAAATCCACAAACAAAACATCCTATAGGAAAAAAAGATAACTGTTTATCTTTGCTCTGAAAGATTGGAGTCTGCACGTACATGTACAGTAGTACAAAAGTCAGTAAAATCTCTCCATACATCCCTCATTCAAATCTTCAAGCGTTTGCCTTCTTTATTTTTTCTTTTGTTTTATTTACAGTATATACACAATGTACAGTATATATTTTTTGTTTATAATTCAAATCTACCGTATCTTCAAATTTTAACCAGAAGCACATCTTATCAAAATCTTTCCAAATGATTCAATTTCCAAAAAGTTATACATGTAGTTCTATGATTTTAGCATTTCTTGTATCAGTACAGACGATACAGTACAAGCACACATCATATTTTAAGAATAATATATTCATAAACATATTATCAATATCATTAATAATTCATAGCATCATTGTGTAATGTGCGAGAATTGCTGCCATTACG